CTCTGCTCTTCTTATAACACTTCTGGTTTGTAAAAACCTCTCATAAGCTACCTTTTTCTCTATCACACCCTTTACTTCATCATTCTACCAATCACTCCTCTTTCCTCCTGCCCCCACCCTCCTATAACCACAAACTTCTGCCCCACATTCTAATACTGCATTTTTAAAACTATTCCAACCCTCTTCAACCCCCCCACTACTCATCTTTGCACTAGTTCACCTTTCTGCCAATAGTCGCTTATATCTCTCCCGAACTTCCTCCTCCCTTAGTTTATACACTTTCACCTCCCTCTTACTTGTTGTTGCCACCTTCCTCTTTTCCCATCTACCTCTTACTCTAACTGTAGCTACAACTAAATAATGATCCGATATATCAGTTGCCCCTCTATAAACATGTACATCCTGGAGCCTTACCATCAACCTTTTATCCACCAATACATAATCTAACAAACTACTTTCATTACGTGCTACATCATACCTTGTATATTTATTTATCCTCTTTTTCATAAAATATGTATTACTTATTACCAAATTTCTTTCTACACATAGCTCAATTAAAGGCTCCCCATTTACATTTACCCCTGGCACCCCAAATTTACCTACTACTCCCTCCATAACATTTTTACCCACTTTAGCATTGAAATCCCCAACTACCATTACTCTCACACTTGATTCAAAACTCCTCACGCATTCAATCAACATTTCCCAGAATCTCTCTCTCTCCTCTACACTTCTCTCTTCTCCAGGTGCATACACACTTACTATAACCCACTTTTCACATCCAATCTTTATTTTACTCCACATAATCCTTGAATTTATACATTTGTAGTCCCTCTTTTCCTGCCATAACTTATCCTTCAACATTATTGCTACTCCTTCTTTAGCTCTAACTCTATTTGAAACCCCTGACCTAATCCCATTTATTCCTCTCCATTGAAACTCTCCCACCCTCTTCAGCTTTGTTTCACTTAAAGCCAGGACATCCAGTTTCTTCTCATTCATAACATCCACAATCATCTCTTTCTTATCATTTGCACAACATCCATGCACATTCAGACTTCCTACTTTGAAAATTTTCTTCTTCTTATTCTTTTTAGTAATCTTTACAGGAAAAGGGGTTACTAGCCCATTGTTCCCGACATTTTAGTTGACTTTTACAACACGCATGGCTTACGGAGGAAAGATTCTTATTCCACTTCCCCATGGATATAAAAGGAAAAGTAATAAGACCAAGAACTATTAAGATAAAATCAAAGAAGACTCAGATGACTGTGTATAAATAAATAAACACCGGTCGTATCCCACCAAGGCAGGGTGGCCCAAAAAGAAAAACAAAAGCTTCTCTTTTTAAATTTAGTAATTTATACAGAAGGGGTTACTAGGCCCTTGCTCCCAGCATTTTAGTTGCCTCTTACAACACGCATGGCTTACGGAGGAAGAATTATGTTCCACTTCCCCATGGTGATAAGAGGAAATAAATAAGAACAAGAACTAGAAAGGAAATAGAAGAAAACCCAGAGGGGTGTGTATATATATGCTTGTACATATATGTGTAGTGTGTCCTAAGTGTAAGTAGAAGTAGCAAGACGTACCCGAAATCTTACATGTTTAAGGGACAGAAAAAAGACACCAGCAGTCCTACCTCCCTGGCCATTGCATGAAATTACCGTCTTCTTTTCTTCATCGACATTTAAAAGTTCCTCAAAATATTCTTGCCATCTACCCAATACCTCCATCTCCACATCTACTAACTCCCCTACTCTGTTTTTAACTGACAAATCTATTCGTTCCCTAGGCTTTCTTAACTTGTTTAACTCGCTCCAAAATTTTTTCTTATTTTCATTAAAATTTCTGGACAGTGCCTCTCCCACTCTATCATCTGCTTTCCTTTTTCACTGTCTCACCACTCTCTTCACCTTTCTTGTACTATCCATATACTCTACTCTTCTTATAACACTTCTGCTTTGCAAAAACCTGTCATAAGCTAACTTTTCTCTTTTATCATACCCTTTTCTTCATCATTCCACCAATCACTCCTCTTTCTTCCTGCCCCCATCCTCCTATAACCACAAACTTCTGCCCCACATTCTACTACTGCATTTTTAAAACTATTCCAACCCTCTTCAGTCCCCCCCCCACTACTCATACCTGCACCAGCCCACCTTTCTGCCAATAGTTGCTTATATTTCACCCGAACTTCCTCCTCCCTTAGTTTATACACTTTCACATCCCTCTTACTTTTTGTTGCCATTTTCTTTTTATCCCATCTACCTCTTACTCTGACTGTAGCTACAACTAGATAATGATCTGATATATCAGTTGCCCCTCTATAAACGTGTACATCCTGGAGCCTACCCATTAACCTTTTATCCACCAATACATAATCTTACAAACTTCTTTCATTACGTGCTATATCAAACCTTGTATATTTATTTATCCTCTTCTCCATAAAATATGTATTACTTATTACCAAACCTCTTTCTACACATAGCTCAATTAAAGGCTCCCCATTTTCATTTACCCCTGGCACCCCAAATTTACCTACTACTCCCTCCACAACATTTTTGCCCACTTTAGCATTGAAATCCCCAACCACCATTACTCTCACACTTGGTTCAAAACTCCCCACGCATTCACTCAACATTTCTCAAAATCTCTCTCTCTCCTCTACACCTCTCTCTTCTCCAGGTGCATATATGCTTACTATAACCCACTTTTCACATCCAACCTTTATTTTACTCCACATAATCCTTGAATTAATACATTTATAGTCCCTCTTTTCCTGACATATCTTATCCTTCAACATTATTGCTACTCCTTCTTTAGCTCTAACTCTATTTGAAACCCCTGACCTAATCCCATTTATTTCTCTCCACTGAAACTCTCCCACTCCCTTCAGCTTTGTTTCACTTAAAGCCAGGACATCCAGCTTCTTCTCATTTATAACATCCACAATCATCTCTTTCTTATCATCCGCACAACATCCACGCACATTCAGACTTCCAACTTTGACAATTTTCTTCTTTTTATTCTTTTTAGTAATTATTACAGGAAAAGGGGTTACTAGCCCATTGTTCCTGGCATTTTAGTTGACTTTTACAAAACGCATGGCTTACAGAGGGAAGATTTTTATTCCACTTCCCCGTGGATATAAAAGGAAAAGTAATAAGACCAAGAACTATTAAGATAAAATCAAAGAAAACTCAGATGAGTGTGTATAAATAAACGTGTACATGTATGTGTAGTGGGACCTAAGTGTAAGTAGAAGTATATGTATATACATATTTTTTTTTCAACAAGTCGGCCATCTCCCACCGAGGCAGGGTGACCCAAAAAGAAAGAAAATCCCCAAAAAGAAAATACTTTCATCATCATTCAACACTTTCACCTCACTCATACATAATCACTGTTTTTGCAGAGGTGCCCAGAACACAGTTTAGAAGCATATTCGTATAAAGATACACAACATATCCCTGTAAACTGTTAATATCCCAAACCCATCCTTTAGAGTGCAGGCATTGTACTTCCCATTTCCAGTACTCAAGTCCGGCTATATAAAAATAACCGGTTTTCCTGAATCCCTTCACTAAATATTACCCTGCTCACACTCCAACAGCTCGTCAGGTCCCAAATGCCCTTCATCTCCATTCACTCCTATCTAACACGCTCACACATGCTTGCTGGAAGTCCAAGCCCCTCGCCCAAAAAAAACCTCCTTTACCCCCTCCCTCGAACCTTTTCGAGGACGACCCCTACCCTGCCTTCCTTCCCCTACAGATTTAAATGCTCTTCATGTCATTCTACTATGATCCATTCTCTCTAAATGACCAAACCACCTCAACAACCCCTCTTCAGCCCTCCTAATTTCCTCACCTCCTAATTTCCACACTCCAAATTTTCTGCATAATATTTACACCACACATTGCCCTTAGACAGGACATCTCTACCGCCTCCTCGCTGCAGCATTTACAACCCAAGCTTCACACCCTTATAAGAGTGTTGGTACCACTATACTTTCATACATTCCCTTCTTTGCCTGGATAGATAATGTTTTTTGTCTCCACATATACCTCAATGCACCACTTACCTTTTTTCCTTCATCAATTTTGTGGTTAACCTCTTCCTTCATACATCCATCCGCTGACACATCAACTCCCAAATATCTGACAACATTCACTTCTTCCATAATCCTCCTCTCCAATTTGATATCCAATTTTTCTTTATCTAAATAATTTGATACCCTCATCACCTTACTCTTTTCTGTGTTCACGTTCAACTTTCTACCTTTACACACACTCCCAAACTCGTCCACTAACCTTTGCAACTTTTCTTTAGAATCTCCCATAAGCACAGTATCATCAGCAAAAAGTAACTGTGTCAATTCCCATTTTGTATTTGATTCCCCATAATTTAATCCCACCCCTCTCCCCATCTCCCTAGCATATACTTCTTTTACAGTCCCATCTGTAAATTTATTAAACAACCATGGTGACATTAGACATCCCTGTCTAAGAACCATCTTTACCAGGAAGTAGTCTCCCTCTCTTCTACACACCCTAACCTGAGCTTCACTATCCTCATAAAAACTCTTTACAGAATTTAATAACGTACTACTTATTCCGTATATACTTGCAACATCTGCCACATTGCTCCCCTATCCACTCTATCATATGCCTTTTCTAAATCCATAAATGCAATAAAAACTTCCCTACCTTTATCTAAATATTGTTCACATATATGCTTCAATGTAAACACTTGATCTACACATCCCCTACCCACTCTAGAACCTCCTTGCTCATCCACAATCCTACATTCTGTCTTACCTCTAATTCTTTCAATAATAACCCTACCATACACTTTTCCTGGTATACTCGGTAAACTTACTCCACTATAATTTTTACAATTTATTTATTTATTTTTATTGGCATTGATATTTAGAATTGTAGATTGATTTAATTTGAATTTTGTTTGCAAAATGATGATACAAACATTTTTTTCAGATTTTGTAAGCTACTATACCTTGCCATCAACAGTTATGCATCACCCAACATACAAGTCATTGAAGGCTGCTTATTCTTTTTACAATGTTTCTTCTGCCACTCCATGGAAAGTCCTGATGAAGGATGCTCTAGTCACTGCAAAGAATGTAAGAATGACACTCCTGAAATTTTCCCTTTTAAACTTTCAAATGACGTAGATCACACAAGTTTTTTTTTTAACCACGTCAGCTGTTTACCAACACTCATTCAATGGCTTGCTCTCCTGAAATGTATATACATGATAGTTTAGATAATATTTCCATAGCAGTTTAACTCTTTGACTGTTGAGACCCCCAAATCCTGAAGTGTCTCTTGTCACAAAATATTAAAAAAAAAAAAAATTCTTAGGAAATGATAGAGAATCTTTTCTCGATGGTAATGACACCAAAAGTACGAAATTTGATGGACAGCTAACGTAATTATGCTCTCGTGAAGTTAGTGATCTCGGCGATATATACACATTGGCGATTTCGCCCACTTTGAGCCCTACTTTCGGCCAGTTTCATTGTTCCAGTCGGCCAAGTTCATAGCTATTTCTTTAGAACTCCATTTGTTCTGTTGATTGAGTACAAGAAACTGCCCATTTACCGATTTCAACTACCCAATAATGTGGTCAGAAATTAGCAATTTAACCAATTTCATGCAATAAACAATGCAGACATTCCTGGCACTAAAAAACATTTTCTCTGTTCATTAGTCATGTCTCCAGGCCGCTCTTATATTACTTGAATTTTTTTTCTCACAAAAAAATAAAAGATCTACTATTATGCAGACTACTGCATTATTGTAATAATTGTATAAATAATGTCAACTCATTCATGACTGTGTATTAGACCGCCCAGTTGGACATGTATTGGACGGTGACGTCATTTGTTTACTCTTGAACATCAGCAAAAATCGAACATTTCCGCTATATTGAGCTCAATTTCTAGGTCCTTTTCTTCTTGAAACCAGTCACAATCATCACTATTTCTGTATTATATCTTCCATTCTATCAAACGAGACCAAGAAAACGAGAATACAACCATAAATACTATACAAAAATACACCTCAAAGTTGGCATTTTAATAAAAAAAACATGGTCGGGGTTTTTTATTCTCATTATGCACTGTGTGCTGCAGGATTTTTTTTATGCTGCACACACTGACCACACGGACCCATTCTCTCACATGTGGGCTTACCAGCTTTCTCCCACCTGATTTGAAGCTGCTTGAATTTTGGTGTATTTATACGTCAAAAACACTGGCTCATAAGACATATATATACGACACCGACAGCCAAAGGGTTAAAGTTATGTCATAAAAGAAATTGCGTGAGATGTTTTGGGTTAGACGAGTGGGGCATAATTATTTCTGAATTTATTTTATTTTAACTATTTTTAGGAAAGTATAATCTGAATTGCAATTTATAATTTAACTGCATAAATAAATTTTAATACGTATTAAGAAAAATTATTTTGGATCTAAAAAATGCATTTATAGTTTTGACTAGGAATTTTATTATCTATCCTTTTCAGTCTGACTATGATGTGTTTAATGCCTTAGACTTGATGGAGAATTCAGAGTTCCTTGAAGAGCTGAAGTTTGGCCAAGGTGACGGCAATCTACAGTATTACCTTTACAATTGGCGGTGTCCTAAGATGGTTCCTCAAAAGGTTAGCATGGAGTTGTAGACTTGGTTTTTACCCTTGGCTTGGAAAGATTGTGCAAGTTGTTTCCTGTGGCATTCCTCTCTTTACACAACTCTGTACACTCCTCAAAGCACCTACTCTACCCTTACAACAAGTTTCTGTCCTATTTTTGCCCACACATGAACACATAACAGTTTTTTACCTGTGCTTTTTCTGTGTTTATCTTCCAGTTCTGAATGCCTCATTTTGCAAACATGAGAGATGGTATTTTCATAAATATTAGATTTTTTTAAATTTATTGTTAACCAATTGCAGTTTTTGGACAAACAAGTGAAGGAAATGGTAGGACAGAAGTAAGGATCACACACATTGCTTGACTGTAAATTTTTTTGGCAAAAATTATGGTTATTACATACGATCTCTGAACCAAGGTTGAGTTGAAACTTTGAAAATGTGTCCTTACTTCTGTTGCCGCTATTTACTTAACAGTAAATAAGTATGTTACTATACCTGAGAAATGATAGACTTGTGGTTTTCATCTTGGGGAAGGGGGGTGGAGTGTCCCTTAGATAGGGCTGGGCTTTTGAAATGACCTGAGATAGGATAACAGCCTGTAGACTGTAGACTGAAACATCGTCATATGTCTCTTTCTTCTGGGTATGGGTTATTTGTGTATTCTTCTTCTTTCAACACACCAGCCGTATCCCACCGAGGCGGGGTGGCCCAAAAGGAAAAACAAAAGTTTCTCCTTTTACATTTAGTAATATACACAGGAGAAGGGGTTACTAGCCTCTTGCTACTGGCATTTTAGTCGCCTCTTACGACACGCATGGCTTACAGAGGAAGAATTCTATTCCACTTTCCCTTGGAGATAAGAGGAAATAAAGAAGAACAAGAACTATAAAGAAAATAGAAGAAAACCCAGAGGGGTGTGTGCGTATATACGTATATGCTTGTACATGTATGTGTAGTGTGACCTAAGTGTAAGTAGGAGTAGCAAGACGTATCTGAAATCTTGCATATTTATGAGACAGAAAAAAGGACACCAGAAATCCTACCATCATGTAAAACAATTACAGGCTTTCGTTTTACACTCAACTTGGCAGGACGTTAGTACCTCCCTGGGTGGTTGCTGTCTACCAACCTACTACCTATTTATTTGTGTATTATTTTTTTTATTATCACACTGGCCGATTCCCACCAAGGCAGGGTGGCCCGAAAAAGAAAAACTTTCACCATCATTCACTCCATCACTGTCTTGCCAGAAGGGTGCTTTACACTACAGTTTTTAAACTGCAACATTAACACCCCTCCTTCAGAGTGCAGGCACTGTACTTCCCATCTCCAGGACTCAAGTCCGGCCTGCCGGTTTCCCTGAACCCCTTCATAAATGTTACTTTGCTCACACTCCAACAGCACGTCAAGTATTAAAAACCATTTGTCTCCATTCACTCCTATCAAACACGCTCACGCATACCTGCTGGAAGTCCAAGCCCCTCGCACACAAAACCTCCTTTACCCCTCTCTCCAACCTTTCCTAGGCCGACCCCTACCCCGCCTTCCTTCCACTACAGACTGATACACTCTTGAAGTCATTCTGTTTCGCTCCATTCTCTCTACATGTCCGAACCACCTCAACAACCCTTCCTCAGCCCTCTGGACAACAGTTTTGGTAATCCCGCACCTCCTCCTAACTTCCAAACTATGAATTCTCTGCATTATATTCACACCACACATTGCCCTCAGACATGACATCTCCACTGCCTCCAGCCTTCTCCTCGCTGCAACATTCATCACCCATGCTTCACACCCATATAAGAGCATTGGTAAAACTATACTCTCATACATTCCCCTCTTTGCCTCCAAGGACAAAGTTCTTTGTCTCCACAGACTCCTAAGTGCACCACTCACTCTTTTTCCCTCATCAATTCTATGATTCACCTCATCTTTCATAGACCCATCCGCTGACACGTCCACTCCCAAATATCTGAATACATTCACCTCCTCCATACTCTCTCCCTCCAATCTGATATTCAATCTTTCATCACCTAATCTTTTTGTTATCCTCATAACCTTACTCTTTCCTGTATTCACCTTTAATTTTCTTCTTTTGCACACCCTACCAAATTCATCCACCAATCTCTGCAACTTCTCTTCAGAATCTCCCAAGAGCACAGTGTCATCAGCAAAGAGCAGCTGTGACAACTCCCACTTTGTGTGTGATTCTTTATCTTTTAACTCCACGCCTCTTGTCAAGACCCTCGCATTTACTTCTCTTACAACCCCATCTATAAATATATTAAACAACCACGGTGACATCACACATCCTTGTCTAAGGCCTACTTTTACTGGGAAATAATTTCCCTCTTTCCTATATACTCTAACTTGAGCCTCACTATCCTCGTAAAAACTCTTCACTGCTTTCAGTAACCTACCTCCTACACCATACACTTGCAACATCTGCCACATTGCCCCCCTATCCACCCTGTCATACGCCTTTTCCAAATCCATAAATGCCACAAAGACCTCTTTAACCCTTATCTAAATACTGTTCACTTATATGTTTCACTGTAAACACCTGGTCCACACACCCCCTACCTTTCCTAAAGCCTCCTTGTTCATCTGCTATCCTATTCTCTGTCTTACTCTTAATTCTTTCAATAATAACTCTACCATACACTTTACCAGGTATACTCAGCAGACTTCTCCCCCTATAATTTTTGCACTCTCTTTTATCCCCTTTGCCTTTATACAAAGGAACTATGCATGCTCTCTGCCAATCCCTAGGTACCTTACCCTCTTCCATGCATTTATTAAATAATTGCACCAACCACTCCAAAACTATATCCCCACCTGCTTTTAACATTTCTGTCTTTATCCCATCAATCCCGGCTGCCTTACCCCCTTTCATTTTACCTACTGCCTCACGAACTTCCCCCACACTCACAACTGGCTCTTCCTCACTCCTACAAGATGTTATTCCTCCTTGGCCTATACATGAAATCACAGCTTCCCTATCTTCATCAACATTTAACAATTCCTCAAAATATTCCCTCCATCTTCCCAATACCTCTAACTCTCCATTTAATAACTCTCCTCTCCTATTTTTAACTGACAAATCCATTTGTTCTCTAGGCTTTCTTAACTTGTTAATCTCACTCCAAAACTTTTTCTTATTTTCAACAAAATTTGTTGATAACATCTCACCCACTCTCTCATTTGCTCTCTTTTACATTGCTTCACCACTCTCTTAACCTCTCTCTTTTTCTCCATATACTCTTCCCTCCTTGCATCACTTCTACTTTGTAAAAACTTCTCATATGCTAACTTTTTCTCCCTTACTACTCTTTTTACATCATCATTCCACCAATCGCTCCTCTTCCCTCCCGCACCCACTTTCCTGTAACCCCAAACTTCTGCTGAACACACTAACACTACATTTTTAAACCTACCCCATACCTCTTCGACCCCATTGCCTATGCTCTCATTAGCCCATCTATCCTCCAATAGCTGTTTATATCTTACCCTAACTGCCTCCTCTTTTAGTTTATAAACCTTCACCTCTCTCTTCCCTGATGCTTCTATTCTCCTTGTATCCCATCTACCTTTTACTCTCAGTGTAGCTACAACTAGAAAGTGATCTGATATATCTGTGCCCCCTCTATAAACATGTACATCCTGAAGTCTACTCAACAGTCTTTTATCTACCAATACATAATCCAACAAACTGCTGTCATTTTGCCCTACATCATATCTTGTATACTTATTTATCCTCTTTTTCTTAAAATATGTATTACCTATAACTAAACCCCTTTCTATTACAAAGTTCAATCAAAGGGCTCCCATTATCATTTACACCTGGCACCCAAACTTACCTACCACACCCTCTCTAAAAGTTTCTCCTACTTTAGCATTCAGGTCCCCTACCACAAATTACTCTCTCACTTGGTTCAAAGGCTCCTATACATTCACTTAACATCTCCCAAAATCTCTCTCTCTCCTCTGCATTCCTCTTCTCCAGGTGCATACACGCTTATTATGACCCACTTCTCGCATCCAACCTTTACTTTAATCCACATAATTCTTGAATTTACACATTCATATTCTCTTTTCTCCTTCCATAACTGATCATTTAACATTACTGCTACCCCTTCCTTTGCTCTAACTCTCTCAGATACTCCAGATTTAATCCCATTTATTTCCCCCCACTGAAACTCTCCTACCCCCTTCAGCTTTGTTTCGCTTAGGGCCAGGACATCCAACTTCTTTTCATTCATAACATCAGCAATCATCTGTTTCTTGTCATCCGCACTACATCCACGCACATTTAAGCGTCCCAGTTTTATAAAGTTTTTCTTCTTCTCTTTTTTAGTAAGTGTCTACAGGAAAAGGGGTTACTAGCCCCTTCTTTACTTTGACAACTTGAACTAAATTGCCAGTCATCTAGAATTACAGTTGCAGTTCTTATCTTGAATCTTTTCCTGGTCCCATACACAGTTACTTTAAATTTCCTTCTAAACTTGCATGTTAAATATCTTTGTAATCCGCTTTATTTTGTATGGTAGTTCTTCCATTAAATCTTCCCAGTCCCCATGCTATGGGTCTGTCTTGAAACCTCTGATTCTCTCCTTGTCCTATGTCTCTGGAATACCCATCAAATTCCAGATACTTTACAATGTCATGCATCCAAAATGCAAATATGTTTTATCTTAAAATGTTTCAGGTTGTAGGGCTTATATACCACTTGATCAACATGCAATAATAGTAGAAATTTCTGAATCTGAAATATGGGTTTTTCCTTAAATTTCCAGACAACTGGGAATGTCTGCTCTGTTAACTTCCCATAGCATTAAATATTCCGACACTGATGGCAACTATGAATGATTTTTGCAAATTCACAAATAACCTACACATAGGAAAAAAAACTTAATGTTAACATTTTGGTTTAAGTATGTGTGAATAGTTTATGGTCTGGATTTTGTAAAACAATTGGTAGGAAACAATCGTTCAGCCAGTAGGAAAAGAGTAGCCCAGAGATGGGATTGAGAAAATATTTTCAACTTTAAGTGACAAAAGGGAAGAGAACAGCATTAGCTCCATGTTAAAATAAAATGTAGGAGTATTGCTGAACTTTGCACTTTATAAAATTTTATTATATTTTGATGTACAGGAGGGCTCCACTTATGCAGTAGGTTAGGTTCTGGGCTATTGCTGTAAAGTGAAAATCACTGTAAAGTGAATCATAGCCTTTTTTCATTTTCAAACACATATAAGAGCCTGATAATATATTTACTCGATCATATAATAAGTGAGCAATAGAACTGGGCCTAAAAATGTATATACAGTATACACTTTCTTCTTTCAACAAACCTGCCATATTGCACTGAGGCAAGGTGGCCCAAAAAGGAAAACAAAAGTTTCTCTTAAATTTAGTAATTTATACAGAAGGGGTTAATAGCCCCCTAATAGTCGCCTCTTACAACACACATGGCTTACAAAGGAAGAATTTTGTTCCACTTCCCCATGGAGATAAGAGGAAATAAAAAAGAACAAGAACTGTTAAGAAAATTGAAGAAAACCCAGAGGTGTATATATGCTTGTACATGTATGTATGTATGTACATGTATGGATTTATGAAGGATGAGGTTAATCATAGAATTGATGAGGGAAAAAAGGTGAGTGGTGCGTTGAGGTATATGTGGAGTCAAAAAACATTATCTATGGAGGCAAAGAAGGGAATGTATGAAAGTATAGTAGTACCAACACTCTTATATGGGTGTGAAGCTTGGGTGGTAAATGCAACAGCGAGGAGACGGTTGGAGGCAGTGGAGATGTCCTGTTTAACCCTTTGAGGGTCGACAGGCCCTCTCCGAAACTCATTCTCAGGGTCGGCCAAATTTAAAAAAAAAAAAAATTATTTTTTCTTATGAAAAGATAGAGAATCTTTTCCCGATCATAAAGACACCAAAAGTTTGAAATTTGATAGAAAACTTATGGAATTATGCTCTCGCAAAGTTAGCGGTCTCGGCGATGTTTACGCATCGGCGATTTTGCCCACTTTGAGCCCCATTTTCGGCCAATTTCACTGTCCTAGTCGACAAAAAACATGAATATTTCGCTAGAACTCCATTTTTTCTATCGAATGGGTGCAAGAAACCACTCATTTATGAAATTCAACTATCCAGTACAGTGGTCAGAATTTAGCAATTTTGCCAATTTCACACAAATTTCAAAAGATGCCAATTTCCGAATAGGGTCCAGAATAAACAAGAAAGACATTCCTGGCACTAAAATGACATTTCCTCTAGTCATTATTCACGTCTCAAGGCCCCTCTTATATTCTTTTGCTTTCCACTTTGAATTTTTATTTTCACAAAAAATATAAGATTTACTGTTATGCAGACTACTGCATTAGTGTAAAAAATGGTATAAATATTATTGGTGCACTTGTGAAAGAATATTAGACTCACCAGTTGACGTGTATTGCACGCTTGGCACGATTTGTTTACTTTTGAAGTTTGGTAAAAATCGAACATTTCTGCTACTTTGAGCTCAATTTCAAGGCACCTTTCTTTGTAAAACCAGTCAAAATCATCTCTATTTCTGTAATATGTCTTCCATTCTATAAAATGAGACCAAGAAAAACTAGAATACAACAATAAATACAATACGAAAATACACTGCAAAGTCGCTGATTTATTAAAAAAAAATGGTCAAAGTTTTTTTTTTCTCATTATGCACTGTGTGCTGCAGGATTTTTTTTAGACTGTGCACACTGACCACATAGACCCATTCTTTCATATGAAGGCCTACCAGCTTTCTCCCACTAGATTTGAGGCCGCTAGAATTTATGAGTACTAGTACGTCAAAAACCCCTACGCGTAAGACGTACTAGTACGACGAAAACCCTCAAAGGGTTAAGGGCAATGTATGGTGTAAATATTATGCAGAAAATTCGGAGTGTGGAAATTAGGAAAAGGTGTGGAGTTAATAAAAGCATTAGTCAGAGGGCAGAAGAGGGGTTGTTAAGGTGGTTTGGTCATTTAGAGAGAATGGATCAAAGTAGAATGACATGGAAAGCATATAAATCTATAGGGGAAGGAAGGCGGGGTAGGGGTCGTCCTCGAAAGGGTTGGAGAGAGGGGGTAAAGGAGGTTTTGTGGGCAAGGGGCTTGGACTTCCAGCAAGCGTGCATGAGCGTGTTAGATAGGAGTGAATGGAGACGAATGGTACTTGGGACCTGACGATCTGTTGGAGTGTGAGCAGGGTAATATTTAGTGAAGGGATTCAGGGAAACCGGTTATTTTCATATAGTCGGACTTGAGTCCTGGAAATGGGAAGTACAATGCCTGCACTTTAAAGGAGGGGTTTGGGATATTGGCAGTTTGGAGGGATATGTTGTGTATCTTTATATGTGTATGCTTCTAAACTGTTGTATTCTGAGCACCTCTGCAAAAACAGCGATAATGTGCGAGTGTGGTGAAAGTGTTGAATGATGATGAAAGTATTTTCTTTTTGGGGATTTTCTTTCTTTTTTGGGTCACCCTGCCTCGGTGGGAGACGGCCAACTTGTTGAAAAAAAAAAAAAAACATGTATGTGTAGTGTGACCTAAGTGTAAGTAGAAGTAGCAAGATGTACCTGAAAGCTTGCATATTTATAAGACAGAGAAAGGACACCAGCAATCCTACCATCATGTAAAACAATTACAGGCTTCTGTTTTACACTTACTTGGCAGGATGGTAGTACTTCCCTGGGCAGTTGCTGTCTACCATCCTACTACCTTGTACCATATAGACATTACTTAAAATATTTTCATCCTTAGCTTATAATGAGTGGTGAATATATTTTTTTATACACAAATAACCCACATATAGAAGAGAGGAGCTAACGACAACGTTTCGGTCCGACTTGGACCATTTACAAAGTCACACTAACAAAAAGGAGAGCAGGATGGGTATATATAGGCAGTACGTGGTAGTAGTAGTAGTAGTAGTAGTGGAGGTGGAAGGAAGTAGTAGTGGGGAGGTGGTAAGAGTAGGAGGGGCCAGTCAAATACTAAGAAAGAGGAGCACTGCAAGGAAGCTAGGTGCCCACAGAGGGTAAGAGCAAGAACACCGAGGGGGGGAAAACAAATAAATAAATAAAAGGAACAAATACACAGGGCAGAAGAAAGACAGACAACCCAAAGGAGAAAAAGGAAAGAGGAAAATGGGAAGAGGGAGAAGAAGAAAAAGGAGGAATAAGTTTAGGTCACGAGTGTTCTGAAGTTTGGACATTTTACAATGTAGTGGGATAGGAAGGCATCTACAGAGACAAAGACAGGACTGAGATTCGTTCAATGAAAATTGTGTATTTGTGTATTGTTCCAGTCACGGTATTGTGCCTTTTTGTTATTTTTTTATAGGAAGTCTGAATAAATGAAGAATGGATATAATTGAAAACTGTTGCATTAGTGAAGCACCATAAAGTGAAGCATTGTCAAGTGGGGGCCCTCCTGTAATTGTAACTTTTAGTTTAAGAGCAGTGGGTTATCTGATGCTTCATCCAGCTCATACGAATTTAAGAAGCAATATTCATGATTGTCTTTTTTTTATGAATATAATTTGAGCGCCATACCAGAAGGTAATGTTCAACCTTATTGGCATGTTGCACTGAGTGTTGTTAAGTGATCAATTAATTTAGAGTTTGTGAATATGGACAGACCTCTCATAGTGCGAGTTTACATGGCACATTTTTATTAGAACACATTAAAAAATATTAGTGTGTGGTTTTTACCTTGGTTTACGTGCTGTAAAATTTTTAGAAAAGTGATGCAGGCATGAACACGTATCTGTTTAAATATTTATAATATTGCCTGGAGAAAACTGGTTGCTGAATCTGGCTCAGTATGGCATATGCTGTAGTGGGTCTCTTAACCTCAATACATGACTGACCTAGTCATCAGCTGATGAAACCTAAACAGACATCTACTGCTCAGTAATTACAAACATCCCCAAACACTGCTATATCAACAACTAAGAGCAACACAAAAAATTTAAGGTAGGGTAAAACTCGTTCTTAATTTTTAATCATATTATACTATGCTGATAAGATTGTGTACTAAATTTATATTAGCCACTGGTGGCTATTTAGCTGGAAGGAGCAGCACCATTCTCATTTTGATTGGAAGGAATAAAGCTATACTGCGTCCGACAGTAGTGTTGAACACCAGCTTCCCATGGCTGTAGGTTTTTTTATTTAGGTTTTGGGCACATAACATTTCTAGATCAACATGCAGGGACCTCTACAATATATTTTGTCAAAAACTTTCATCACTTTTGACAAAGTAAGCACTGATTTTTTTTTTTTTTTCTTTTTAAGGTGGTGTAAACCTAGCCTTATTTTCCCCATACATTTTTCATGGCATGAAGTTACCTAAAGTACCGATTTCAGGAATGTAACCCCAGTATCATGCGAGGTCTGGCTGTAACCTGATTTGGAAGTTAATTGAAATTTTATTTACTTCAAATTTTATAGCAAATAACATTACCCATACTGTACAATGTTTTATTTTGCAGGTTGGCTTGGTATTACAGTAATGAAGAGGTTTATGTTTATATTACACTTTTGAACTCTCTTAGCAATTACAAGAGAGCACTGTAAACTTGCATTGACTGCCGCTTACAAGAGTACTTCGTTTGTGCACAGTTGTTCCCAAGTTCATCTCTGCAGTAAATATACTAGCTCTATACTGTACCTATGTACTGTATAATGTATATAAGGTTCCCACCAAAATGTAACTATAATTACATATACTAAGTTCTAGCATGTAGTATTTTCCCTTGAATATAATAGAAAGCAAAATCCATTAATGTGTATTTGTATGTTTGTTACACTTGCATTGTGGTGTACAATTATTAATGAAATCAGTAATTGGTAGCTAAATGGATGTTAAAGTGAGGGGTACAGATCAAGACAGGTAGTGAGTTCAACAAATGCAATTGAATCTGTTAGTGATTAAAAAGAGGACTTGACAGTATTTGAACAGATTAAACTACCTGAAAAATTTCTTGCAAATGAATTGTTATATTACTGGAAGTATTGCATGACTGAACTAGTATAGTTAACAAGCTCACCTTAGACTGAATATAAACAGACCCAACCTACTGTAGGAAACACTGCATTGCTGCCTTCTAAGACAGTACTTTATTTTTCTTCTTGCACCAAGAAGTATATAATTCTGTTGGTGCATTAATGAACTATTTCATCTGGTTAGGTTGTCATTATAATGGGTTATGACATCACCTGTATATTAGTACCTTCATTTGATGTCCAAACTGCATAATCCTCAGGTGATTTATGAATTAGTCCCAGTGTGAGGGCTGCTTGGTAAGCCTCTTCAGTGTTGCTGAAGACACCTTTTCTGTGATATCAGTTGCTTGATCTTAGGCAGTATGTATAGGTTTGTCAGTGTGCCTACACATTTATAATTATATTTTATGAGCTTATGCTTAAAATGTGGAAGAAAATTCTATGGTTAACCTAATGGTGTTCTGCATTCATGATAAGTGTAACCAAATTCTTATTGCTTTTACCCTTTATCACTTAGTTCAGCTACCCAGTAAGTAATGTAGATGAAGAATGAGACACTTGTGCAACACTTGGGAATATCTTTTATTTCAGGAAATGCTTTGTCAGTCAGTGGCTTTTCAGTCCAATACAGAGGTAAACTGTGGAAGATGTTGAGAATGAGGTAATCAGTTCCTCAGCATGGAGTCGATGTGTTTAGTCCATCATTCTCGTCATCTTCCACTGTTCTTCTCTGTATTGGACTTAAGAAGCTGCTGGCTAGCAAAGCATTTCCTCACTAAAGATTCCCAAGTGTTACACAAGTGTCTTATTCTTAACTTGTCAGTTTTCCAAACCATTTACATCACAAGTAATGTAGATCATTTAGCATTTATAGGTTATCTAGTAGCAACTAAAATGTCAATAGCATTTTTGAGAATACTTATGATAAGTGAAATTCAGACTCTCCTTAATTGTGAATAAATTCTAATGATATTGCATTACAAGATGGTAATGATAGTTGGGTCAAATTGTAAACAACATGTCCCTTTGGCAGGCTTGGGGGTAAGTGTTGGGGATAGTGGCGAACCTTGAAAACATTACGAGGTGGTAACTGATAAATTTTCCCTCTTATGCAAGAATGGGGAAAAATCAGTTGTGGATTTAGATGTACTGAAATGAATTTAAGCACTGCTAGTTACATTATAAGTGATAATTTGTTTTACACTCTGAGGTAAAGTGCTGATAAAGTATGCCAATACTGTTCTAACAATGAATTTCCAGTGTTTTGAGATAGTGTTTATTATTTATGCCAGAGTTATTCTAATAAACCAGGACATGGGCTTTTCCCACAGAGTTATGATGTGATTTCTTAGTGGCACTATGTCCCAAAATTTGGCCATTTGACATTTTTTTGGAGGGTATTCAGACATCAATATGATTTTTATAACATTGTTATATAAGAGTTTAAATTATCTCAAGTGTCATATCACTTGAAATAGAAATTTTAAAGTTGACCTTTACTTTAAGTATTAAAGAATTTAATTTACTGCCATACAGTAAATAATTAAGAGGGCCATCTACCACTACATTTTTTAAGGTTATAGAGCGATTTGACTGAAATTTTCTGAATTTTGTCACTATTATTTGTTAATTCTGGAAATGACCTCAGAACAATAGTTCTGGGATTTTATTTAATTTTTCAAATTTCAAGATATTCTGCCTTTATGGCCCATGTGCATTTTAACAGACATTGCACAGCCTAATTGCCAATATCATACTGATTACATGTTCATCATATAGTTAATAACATGAATAGTTCAATTCTAAAAAGAAAAAAATAGCAAAATGCTCTTGATACAACAGAAACTATTCTATAAATGGTCTTGTACCTTGTTAGAAATGTAATTACCTATCAGTTATTACTGAACCTATATCAAGTTTGCAGGGACTTGGGGGGGGGGGGGGGAGTTGAGCTACAGCTTGAATGGACTGGCATGAATAAGCCCTGCCAGATCTATTTTCGAACCCCTGTATGGAATTTGCTTCCTTTGTCATTGCTTAGTTCATTCCACTTTTTTTTTATTACCTCTGTTGTGTTGAAGAAATACTTTGAAGATCCCTGTGACTCGTATTGGTGTGTAATGTTTAAACATTGTTGTCATGGGAAAGGCATATGTACTGTATTTTCTGACATAAAAGGTGCATCTTCTTTCCCACAAAATGTCTTGGAAAAATCATCCTGCACCTTATATGCTCAAGGTCAGGGTCAAAGGTAGGCTTTGTGTAATGCTTTAGCAGTTATTTATTAACGTTGCATTACAACTGCTTGGAAACGTCATACATGTCTTATACACTCGTGCACCTTATGTGTCGAAAAATACAATATGTTTTACTCTTTATCCATTATTATGATTCCAGACTTAATGTGAATAATTTTTTTTTTAACTCTGCTTGCTATTACTCATTGACTTTTTGATGTACTTTGTATTACTTGCTACCAATATGAGGTTATAATATACTAATTGTACAGGGTTCCCTCAGCTTGTTTTGCTTGATGTAAATTCTCTGTGCGATGACCCCATTTCTGGAAATAGTTCACTGTGTGTGATATTAATTTGCATATCTATATATCACTAACTTGTTTTATATTGACATCTGTAAGAATGAGAATAGATTTGGGCATGGGAAATCAAATGAGCATATCTTGAAGAAAATCGTATGGCTTGTTTTCTATTTGACTTTTGTCAAGTCAACAGACAGTGGGCATACAGCCAATAGTAGTAAGCTGGTGGAGACACAGTCAGGACTTTGTGTGGGAGAAGAAGAGAGAGGTAGGAGGATTTGTATTTACAGAAAAGAATAAAAAGGCACAATACCGTGACTGGAACAATGCACAAATAGAAAGAAACTTATGATGATGATGTGGTCTGACATGGACCATAACTAGTCACAGTATGTGACTAGTTAATGGTCCATGTCAGACTGAAATGTCATCATAGGTTGCTTTCTCCTATGTGTGGGTTGTCTGCTTATTGTATTCACAGGTTCATATTATGTTTGCTTCATCTTAGACAACAGACTGGTTGATTGGTGGAGGAGGGCTGGTACAAGAGAGATGGACTACGGTTGAGATTTGGATTTTATTTTTTCTTGGCTGTTTTGGGCCAAATTCATTCCTTTATGATATAAGATTGTTTGGAGCATGTGGTGTAAGCTCCAAATCTCAAAATGTATCCCTTTGTTTTACATTTACTAATAGGCTAACTTTGTGCCATGGGCTGGAAACACATCTATCGCATAAAGCCAGAGTCACCTGTACTGTGTAAAAAGGATAGTATGCTCCTTACTTTACAATGGTTCTACTGTATGATATTTCGACTTTACAATGGTGTGATACTGATGCACATTCTGTATTGTACAGTACTGTACATTTATTGATAGGATAAACTTGTAAACCTGGTTGATCAGATCCTGATCCACCATGAGGCCTGGTCTCGGACTGGGCATGGGGGCGTTGACCCCTGAAACCCTCTCCAGGTGTTTGCAGTAGGGCCCCATTTATATGACGGGTTATATTCCAGGCTACTGCCGCAAAGCGGAACACCCTTTTTGCCACTTACAAATGCATATAAATGCCAGGTAACAAATTTACACTAAAATATATGAACTTAGGAATAGAACTAGGCATTAAAAACAAAAACAAAGTAAAATACACATATGGTACACTCATTATTACCTTAAAAGATGTGTAATCTTAATGTAGGGTGAGAGGTGAGTAGTATTTATTGTGGACAGGTGTGGTAGGTATGGTAGCTTACCCGGCTACCTTACCTATGTGTAATATACGACATTTAAAGTGCCCCAGAGCGATAAAATACACACAGTACACTCATTACTTTAAAATATTACTTATTTTAAAATATATGTAGTCTTAATGTAGGGTGAGAGGTGAATAATATTTATTGTAGGAAATCAGGTGGTAGGTATGGTAGCTTGCCCGGCTACCACACCTACACGTAATATACAACATTTAAAGTGCCCCAAAGCAATAAAATACACATACAGTACACTCATTAAATTATGTGTAGTCTTAATGTAGAGTGAGAGGTGAGTATTTATTTTGGAAAGTCAGGTGTGGTAGCTCCCACACCAGCTATAACACCTACACAAAATATACGACTTAAGTTTAAAGCGTCCCTGAGTGATTGTTATTTTTTTTTTAATGAACCGAGGTAGGGTGACCTAAAAAGAAAAACAAACGTTTTTCTTTTTAAATTTAGTAATTTATACAAGAGAAGGGGTTACTAACCCCTTGCTCCCTATTATTAAATTATTACCATCGACATAACTTGTTCACTGAGTTCAGTCATTTCTAACAACTACTGTTAGATGTCATCTTAAACGAGAGAGATACCGAGAATGTAAACAAAACAGACAAATGCCTATTAATATCTATCCAGTTATGGTTCACTCATGTTCATTCCCACATATGTTTGTGAAGCTTTTACAACAATACAAACACCTTACATTGTGTACAAGTTGTTGTCACGTTGATGAAGTAGAATAAATAACAGGAACACTCCCAGTCTCATGCAACACACAATTTTTAGAGGGAATGACACTCTGAGTTGAAGGCACATGAAAGGAATATTTTTCTATAGTTACCCACAGTACACAGTCCACATTTTCTCTGTTGTTGGACTAGAGAAAATGGAATTTTTTCCATCACTCTTACAAGCTGCCAGCAACCACATCTCATATTTATGTAAATTTTTTCTGCTGTGGGTGTATATATTATGTTTATATGTTATGTAATGTGTTTCTTGTATAATTTAAAAAAAAAATGTCATGGATTAATAAAAATATATTAACGTAATACAGCCTCTCTTCACTTAGCGATGTAATCGTTTACTGACGACCCAGACTTATGTTGGATTCTCTCACCAGTATGCATACCTAAATAATGTATATTAGAGCTGCTTTCTGTTTATTACAATATACTGTACACAACTGTATATACATCTAAAAATATACCAGATATGTTATAAATGATGCAAAGGTGACATTAAAACAATATCAAAGATGATTGACTCAAACCCTCACATAGCGTCAGATTTGTTTACCGATGTGGTCTTAGGAACGGAACTCTGTTGTTAATGAGGAGAGGCTGTATATGACATTTAAAGCACCCGAGAGTGATTATTATTAATATGGCATCTTCAAGACAAGTGAGACACTCTTAGTGACTTTAACCCTTTCAGGGTTTTGGCCGTACTAGTACAGCTTACGCACCAGGGTCCATGACGTACTAGTACTCATAAATTCTAGTGCCTTCAAATCTAGGGAGAGAAAGCTGGTAGGCCTACATATGAAAGAATGGGTCTATGTGGTCAGTGTGCACAGTATAAAAAAAATCCTGCAGCACACAGTGCTTAATGAGAAAAAAAAAACTGACCGTGTTTTTGGATTAAAACACCGACTTTGCACTGTATTTTCGTATGGTATTTATTGTTGTGTTCTAGTTTTCCTGGTCTCATTGTATAGAATGGAAGACATACTACAGAAATTGAGATGGTTTTGACTGGTTTTACAATGAAAAGTACCTTGAAATTGAGCTCAAAGTAGCAGAAATGTTCAATTTTTACCAAAGTTCAGAAGTAAACAAATCTTGCTAAGCGTCCAATACACATCAACTGGTGAGTCTAATATTCTTTCACAAGTGTGCTGATATTATTTATACCATTTCTACACTAATGCAGTAGTCTGCATAACAGTAAATCTTCTATTTTTTGTGAGAATAAAAATTCAATATGGAAAGCAAAAGAATGTAAGAGGGACATGGAGACGTGACTAATGAACAGAGGAAATGTTATTTTAGTGCCAGGAATGTCTTTCTTGTTTATTCTGGACCCTATTTGGAAATTGGCATCTTTTGAAATTTGTGTGAAATTGGCAAAATTGCTAAATTCTGACCACTGTACTGGATAGTTGAAATCGTTAAATGGGTGGTTTCTTGTACTCATTCGATAGAAAAAGTGGAGTTCTAGCAAAATAGTTATGATTTTTGTAGACTAGTACATTGGAATTGGCCGAAAATAGGGCTCAAAATGGGCAAAATCGCCGATGCGTAAACATCGTCGAGACCACTAACTTTGCGAGAGCATAATTCCGTAAGTTTTCCATCAAATTTCATACTTTTGGTGTCATTATGATCGGGAAAAGATTCTCTATCTTTTCACAAGAAAAAATATTTTTTTTTTTTTTTTTTTTTAAATTTGGGGGACCCTGAGAAGAAGTCTCTGAGAGGGCCTGTGGACCCTGAAAGGGTTAATGTGTACCTGCACGCCAGCAGTGTATATGTTTATTTAGGTACAGGTACATATAAGTATAATTTTTTTTTTTTTCAACAAACCGGCTGTATCCCACCGAGGCAGGGTGACCCAAAAAGAAAAACGAAAGTTTCTCTTTTTAAATTTAGTAATAAATACAGGAGAAGGGGTTACTAGCCCCTTGCTCCCGGCATTTTAGTCGCCTCTTACAACACGCATGGCTTACGGAGGAAGAATTCTGTTCCACTTCCCCAAGGAGGATAAGTGTAATTATCAGAGTATATATAAAATATTCAATAACTTTAAAACACTTGTTATTTTGGAAAGTTTCTAGACATAATGGAGAGATGCAAAGCTCCCTGAGGATGTAAACAAACATTGGCGAGCAGAAGCCATATTAGCGAGTCGGGGGTGGGGGGGCTGTATAACGAGTTTTGGTCATAATTTGAAATGTATGTATTAGCAAAATGCTGTAAAGCAGGGCTTTCTTGTATTTACTTTTCAATACAGTTTCTCCTTACTTAACGACGGAATTCCGTTCCTAAGACTGTCAGTAAACGAATTCATCGCTAAGTGAGGAGCATACTATAATGGTAGTGGTTTTGTGTCACCCATCTTTGATATTATTTTAATGTTGCCTTTGTCGCATTTATAACATTTCTGGTATATTTTTAAATGTTTATACAGTAGTGTACTGTATATTGTAATAAACAGAATAGAGGAAATCAGCTCTAATATATATTAGGTATACATACTGGTCAGAGAGCCCATTGTAAGTTTGAATTGTCTGTAAATGAGTACATCACTAAGTGAGGAGAGGCTGTACTGGTATTTAGTTAGTTACAGTAATTTTTTTTTTTTTCAACAAACCAGCCGTATCCCACCGAGGCAGGGTGGCCCAAAAAATAAAAATAAAAGTTTCTCTTTTCGAATTTAGTAATTTATACAGGAGAAGGGGTTACTAGCCCCTTGCTCCCGGCATTTTAGTCGCCTCTTACAACACGCATGGCTTACGGAGGAAGAATTTTGTTCCACTTCCCCATGGAGATAAGCGGAAATAAACAAGAACAAGAACCAGAAAGAAAATAGCAGAAAACCCAGAGGGGTTTGTGTATATGCTTGTACATGTATATGTAGTGTGACCTAAGTGTAAGTAGAAGTAGCAAGACATACCTGTAATCTTGCATATTTATGAGACAGAAAAATGGACACCAGCAATCCTACCATCATGTAAAACAATTACAGGCTTTCATTTTACACTCACTTGGCAGGACGGTAGTACCTCCCTGGGTGGTTGCTGTCTACCAACCTACTACCAAGGAGTTACAGTAATTATTTGTTTATTTACTTATTCAGTGACTAGTTATTTATTTATTTGTCAAATATTTTCATATTCAGCCTAGGATATTTTCAATTTAGGGTGGGTTCTTTGGAACGTTATAAATCAAGGAGCACCTGGATGTTGGAAAAGGTCAAACAAGGATGCTTTATCATTTCTTAACTGAATGGGCTATAAGCTTTCCACAGTGTTACTGCTTTTTTGTGAGAAAAGTAATTTCCTCAAGTGCTATATGAGAAATTACAAAACTAATTTTCCTGAGTCCTGTTTTAAAGTGACCTCAAATGAATCGTTTAATGAAGCTTGAGCAGTAGTTGAAATATTTGTAATACTTTATAACTCCCACATTTTTGCATGTAGCAAACATGTCATACCATGTAATCTCCAATATATATGTCTTCAATGATTTCTTCCCAATTCCCAGGTACTATATGACCTCCACAGGTTTAGCTCTTCCTTCTAAATATAATAATGATAATTTCACTATACAGGAGGGCCCCATTTGTACGACGCTTACGTTCACATCCCTGTGCGATGAGCGATAATTGCTGGCAGGCAAATGGAAAAGAGCAGTGTTTTCAATATTGAATGCATCTAAAATGCCTTATAATGTGTATACACTATCATATATTAAGGGCTTAATACAGTTAGGCATAAAAGAAAAGATAAAGTAAAATAAATACACAGTACATACAATACTTACCTTAAAATATGGTGCCGCTAGCCTTTGCCTTATGCAACTGTTATGGTAAAATAGTGGAAAAGCACTGAACATAATGAACAGTAGCTCACTTGAAAGCCAACAAGAATGTAGAACACCAAAAAGAGGATACCAAATACACAGGGCACTCCTGTAAACAGTATCTATTTGTAACCAGGAAAACTTTTAAGTGTTTAGCCATCAGGGAAAGAAATCTTTATAAATAGTCAATCATATTTAGTTTTTTTATTGTGTGCAGTGATGACACACATTTCCCCAAAAAAGTAGTGGTAGATGTCCTTGTTAAAGGGATAATGCATAGTTGTAGTGAGATTAATGGCATTGTTAGTATGAGTGAGAGTAAGAACATGTTTAATAATGGGGTTGGTTGGACTAGTCATAAGCATATAGTTATCATGCTTATGATTAATGCAATAAACAACAGTATACATGGTGAACTGCATATTTTGCCACTGACAAAGACTTGGTAAACAAAATTTATTAATTTTTTGGAAGGTGAGGTTTGTCTAATTCAAATTTTGTATTGTCACTTAATGTTTGCAAGGTGAATCTTAATTACAAGTCCATCAGTAGCATTTGGTTTGTCTTCTCTTAAATATATTAAAAGTTGTTACAGCAACAAGAAATTTATTTGATATAGTTTTTGTATGAGTAATTTCTATAGTTTTTATTTAAATAGTGTGTGTTGATGAAATAACTGTGATAAATTGGGTAGTTACTGCTACACATTGGTAACCATCTTAAGTAAAACGTTAAGTAAATCGTTGTTACAAAATACATGTTACATTTCAGATTCATTTACTCATTTAGGAAAAAACCTATCCAGTGTTCTTCAGCTGTGACGTATGAATGAGTAATCTGTTTATTATTTGAATATCTTTACAGAAAATTTTTATAAAGTACGAATATTATGCCAATAATGAAGCATCAAAGAATTGTGGACATTTGTCAGTAATGGGAATCAACACACATGGAGACAGTTAGGGAAAAATTGTTTTGTATGTTTCAACCTCTGTCTGGGGTTCTCTGATGCTTAAGAGGATCCCTGACTAAAGCTGAAATAGAAAGAACAACATTCTAGCTTTGTCTCCATGTGTGGTAATTAACATTACATAATATTGTCAGTTTAAGTCAGAAACTGTGGTGAACCTCTTTGCTATGTTACATTGATGTGAACCAATGTCTTGTCAAGAAGCTTTGTTTAAAATTCTCCTGCAGATATGAAATATTCAGTTTTACCCCAGCTCAAAGTGCCAGCCAGGCCATTTTGTTCCTTGTCTTTAGCTAATTTATAATTTTATCTATATATTCAGCATCTCATTCTGGTAGTGTTATTTTCCAGCTTTTGTTACTGAGCATTGGTTAGTTTGCAAGGTGAAGTGAGCTCTAGCTCTTGATCTCACCACTTAACTTTCAACTAAATGATGTGAATTAGCCATATCCCTGCATCCACTAGCCTCAGACCAGGCTTCAAAAGTAGGAGAAATCTCAAAAACAGTCAAGGTATGTGATTCCTGTACTGATTAGTTGCTAACTGTTGCCAGTGTGAGATGGTTTTATAGGTCTGTGAGGGATTGACAACAACAGTCTGGCCTCATGCTGGAATTTGAGAGTACAATTTTTTAAACCAATCACCAGTAAGCCAGGTTTCTAGATGTAGGGCATTAGTTGCTGAGGGAAACACTTTTAGCAGTAGTCATAGGGTAACCTTCAAAGGGTGGTGCATTTTGTTTTGTTACAGGATTTCTGTTTCCATATTTGACTTATAATATTGGTTTCTCAGTGTTATTTCATTCACTTGAACTTTTGTTTCTTTCCTTTTATTTACCATTTAAGTAGGCTTGCTGAAGCATCCTCTGTTCTTTATATATACATTGTTGGTATTTCTTATTGCAGTAAGAGCAGGTTTACCTATGTAATAGCCATATGAATATACATATTTTTTTTTATTGTTACTCCATATATCTTAATACGTACTTGGAAGGAATTGATGATGCCTGGGGAAGCTTTTGCACGAGTCAACTCCATAAAATTAGAGCAAAGCTCTGAAGAGGAAATGCATTGTGTTTTGTAGGTGTATAAAATACTGTATGCTATACATGAGCAAGAAGTGCAGAGAATGCACAATGCAAACCAGTGTCATCTTAAGATAAATCTATTTTGAGCATTTCTGTTGATTGTAGTTAGATCTGATTAAAAAATGTAGATGTAATGCCAGGTAAGCTGAGCCTGTTAGACAGGCTGGACATCCTTAAAAATAATATTTTGGAAGTTTTATACTCTATTCATGACAACATGTTAGGCTAGTTTTTAATTGTACATCTAATCTAACTTAACCTGACAAACCGTACTAAAATTAACATAATGTACAGTATTACTCCTAAATCTTGTCTAGTCTCTGTAGAGTCATAATTGGTAGCAGTTTTTGGTCTGCATTTGAGATGAGCAAAATGTTATCCTTCCTATCTTTGGGCATCACTTTATGTTGATGACTTTGCTATAGCTTACTCGGGTGCTGCCTGTCGGGTAGTAGCGGCCTCCCTTCAGGAAGTGTTAGACCGAGTTTCCCATTGGACCACTTCTCATGGCTTTAAATTTTCCAGTACGAAAACCTGATTCATTGCCTTCACTAGACGCTCACTTATACCGGATACTCCCTTGTACTTACACGGTTCACGTATTCCGACTTGTGATAAGGTCAGGTATCTGGGCCTGCTCTTTGACCGCCGGCTGATGTGGAAACCTCACATATCTTCGTTAAAGACAACTTGCCATGGTTGGCTAAATCTCCTTAAGGTTCTTGCACATCGTTCATGGGGAGCAGATCATCGCACTCACCTCCGTTTGCATTCCACCCTAGTCTTGTCCAAGCTAGATTATGGTGACCAGATCTATTCTGCATCTTCTCTCGCAACTCTGACTAGTTTAGATCTTATTCATCACCAAGGTCTCTGCCTATGCCTTGGTGCCTTTCATTCGTCCCCTGTTGAGAGCCTCTGTACAGAGGCAGATTTTCCATCCTTGTCTGATTGCCATGATGCTCATTGCCTTCACTATTATGTTCAATCCCATGACCTCTACAATCCTTCCATGTACAGGATAGTCACTGATGTTAGTAAATGTTCTTTATTTGTTTGTTGCCCGTTTACTCCGTCCCTTTTCTCTCCGCCTACATTTGCTCTCATCTTCTCTTTACTTACCACCTCTCTATGTTCATGTAGCCTCTCACTTTTCCCTGCCCCCTTGGGAAGTTCAGGCTGTTTGTGTCTGTTCTTTCCCACTACCATGCACGAAAGCCCAACTACCTATGGTAGCTTCCTGCTCTCTTTTTCTTAAACACTTTTGCTCTCATTCTCATGCTATCACAGTGTACACTGATGGTTCCGTGTCTTCGGATGGCGTCGGATTCGCAGCAGTGTTTCCGGACAGTGTCATGTAAGGGCATTGTGTTTTGTCTGTGCACATAGAAAAAAAAACCCACAAAAACACAGACACTCGTTTTATGTGTGAGGAGTGTGAAACACCATTGTGCATGACACTGTGTTTCAGAAAGTTCCACAGGCTGCAGAACTCGGCTAGCATTTTTATGATTTATTTGTATGCCATTCTTGTAGCACTTATCTGTATTGCATCTATGCCTGTGTCACCATTTGTAGTTGTTTCAGACTCCCATAGTGCTTTACAGGCTATGTGGAAATTTGATGCACCTCACCCCCTAGTTCTTCGTATCCAACTTTGGTTATGCCGTATCTCTAGCAAACACAGAGAGATCGTTTTTTGCTGGGTCCCTGGTCATGTTGACATACAGGGCAATGAACAGGCAGACACTGCTGTGGGGTCAACAGTACATGACCTCCCAGTTTCATATAAAGGTGTTCCATTCACGGACTGTTTTGCTGTAATTGCTACCCATCTTCGCACCTGTTGGCAACAATGTTGGTCTGATCTGCTCCATAACAAACTTCATTCTGTTAAGCCGAGTATAGGTTTCTGGCCATCATCTTGTCATCAGTATCGAGGTTGGGAGGCTACTCTCTCTCCCGTCTTCGCATCGACCACACTTGTCTTACTAACGGGTATCTCATGGAGAGGTATCCTATTCCGCTCTGTGAGAATTGTCAGGTTCCAGTATCTGTTAGCCACATTCTGTTGGACTGCCCACTCTATCAACGAGCATGGAGAATTTACCTCCAATGTCGTCTCCTCTCTGCTGCCCTTTCTTTACCTTCCCTTCTTGCTGATGGACCCTCCTTTAATCCAGACTCTCTCATTGCCTTTTTGACAGCAGCTGATTTACTACACAAACTCTGATGATGATGATGATGATGATGTCTCTGGCACTCTTCTCAGCCCTTTCCACCTTAATCTCTAGCTACCCTCTACCCCTGCACTATCCACTGCCCTGCTACACTTCATAACCTAATACGTAATCATACCTTTCCCTCTTACTACCCATTACCCCTGTATCCTTCCCTGCCCTGCTGTGCTGTATAATCCTTGTGGTTTAGTGCTTCTTTCTGATTATAATAATAATATCCTTCCCATTGGTGTTGGCCATGGAAAACAGTTTGTGCACACTTTTGTTTCATTCACATGCCTCACACACACAGACTTGCACTCTCTCGTTGATGCTCCAACAACTTTTTATTAATTCATTTATCAAAGGGCTCATAGGGTTCATTTGTCTTTTGCCACCTGGATGCCTTCACTCTGATTGCTCATCTAAGTTCCGCTAACATGCAGGCACACAGGAATTCCTGGATGAAACTGGCTTATTATACTGACTTTGTTTACTTTCATTTGTTGCACATATATACTACCTATACATACATATGCCCCACTCCTGTTATTTGCACTTTGTATCCCAATTAGTTTGTTTTTATGAATATAGTGTAATAACGATTACAGCTTATCCTATCCTACCTGTCTAGAATCAGACTAAATAAAGTTACTGTAATAATATTTAATGTCAGATATTTTTTTTTTTCAACAAGTCGGCCGTCTCCCACCGAGGCAGGGTGCCCCAAAATAAAGAAAATCCCCAAAAAGAAAATACTTTCATCGTCATTCAACACTTTCACCTCACTCATACATAATCGCAGTTTTTGCAGAGGTGCCCAGATACAACAGTTTAGAAGCATATATAAAGAGATATAACATATCCCTCCAAACTGCCAATATCCCAAACCCATCCTTTAAAGTGCAGGCATTGTACTTCCCATTTCCAGTACTCAAGTCTGGCTATATAAAAACTGATTTCCCTGAATCCCTTTACTAAATATTACCCTGCTCACACTCCAACAGCTCGTCAGGTCCTAAAAACCATTTGTCTCCATTCACTCCTATCTAACACTTTCATGCACGCTGCTGGAAGTCCAAGCCCCTCGCTCACAAAAACCTCCTTTACCCCCTCCCTCCAACCTTTTCAAGGATGACCCCTACCCCTCCTCCTTTCCCCTACAGATTTATACGCTCTCGATGTCATTCTACTAAATCCATTCTCTCTAATTGATTAAACTACCTCAACAACCCCTCTTCAGCACTGTAACTAATACTTTTATTAACTCCACACCTCCAAAATTTCCACCAAAAATTTTTTGGCTTTAATATTTGCATCACACATTGCCAGTTTTATTATTATCATTGTCAGATATATTATATCTTTATTAAGGAAAAATTTTGCGGGGTTTAAAAATATAATTAAGTGTACGGTATCAGTTTTTTATTTTTTCCCTTTTTTTGTCAAAAAAAAATCTTTGTTTTTTACCCCTTTTTGTGGGGGTTTGTGAAA